CACCCTGAAGAAAGACCGTAAATGAGGATTATTCTGTCTCCTTGGTTATCATAATGACTGGTGCTAGAGGAAGCTAAGGGTAAGCCAATAGCCAGAAGCTGGACTTCATACATCTGAACATGCACCCTGAGTTAATTCTTACTGCCATGCATGTGGAAACTGAGATTTCTCTTTCTTTTCATTCTTTTTGTTTGCTTTTGTTTTGGGTTTGGTTTTTTGAGACATGGTTTCTCTGTATAGCTGTCCTGGAAGTTGCTTTGTACACTAGCCTGGCCTTGAACTCACTGACTCCCGAGTGCTGGGATTAAAGGCATGCACCACCACCTGTCCTACATTGTAATTTCTCACTTAAGACTTTGACAGAACCCTGCCACTGTGAAGTCCCTGGCTCTGACAAGGCTTACCCCAGTGTGCCTCAAAAGGCACAGCTCTGTGCTCTTCTGCTCCTTGGAGGAAGACATCAGTAACTGCAGGCTGTGCGCATATTTACGAATCCCAGCTCTCTCCCAGTACTTTAAGTTTGGCCATGACCTAGGGTTTTTGGTTTTGTTTTCCCCAGGGTTTTGCTGGATGCTTGTGTGGGTTCCCTTTCTGCATGGACATTATTTAGCACCCCTTTCCAGCTGCCAACAAAGCCTGCAAATGCCTGTACTGGCTTTGTAACAAATGCCTTCATATTTAAGTTCGATCCTCACATGGCAGGAGAATGAAATTGACTTCTGCAGCTTTTGTAGCTTGTATCCTGACCTCCCTACATAATGACATGTCCTTCTATCAAATGGGTCCCAGACATCAAATTCAAGTCAATAGTCTTGGTGGCAAGCACCTTTACCTGCTGAGCTATCTTGCCATAGCCTCAAAATGTTTTTGAAAGGGTGGGGATACGGCAGAGTAGAGGACTCCCATGGCGTGTGCAAGGCTGTAGGTTCAATCCCCATTATAAAAACAAACAAACAAAACACATGGAAAGATGCCCATCACTTGTCATCATGGAACTGCAAACAAAAGGAAAAAAAATGACAAATCTGCTGGACTAAATAGCTAAATCTCAAAACATGGACAATGCTAATAAGAAATGGAAGGGTCTGCCATTCACTGCTTGTTGCAATGCATGGTGGTACCAACTTAAACTTTTTCAAATTCCATTTATTTGTGGTTGTCACCATGTGGAGGCCACAGGACAACTTGCAGGACTCAGTTATCCCCCTCCGTCACATGGGTCCAAGGAATCAAACTCTGGTAGTCATGCTCGACAGCAGATGACTTTGCCCGCTAAGCCACCTCACTGGGCCTTCAGATATATGGTTGCTTGTAGGATACTTGCACTACCACCCCCGCATGCTGAGGATTGAATCTAGGACCTCATGTATCCTGCTCAAGTTCCCTGTCTTTCAGCTACATCCACTAGTGGTGGAATAGCCACTTCAGATGACAACCTGGCAGTTTACCAGATTAAATTACACGTCTAATATATTCCTTGGTGAATACTTACTGCTCCTTGGCAATGCAAAACTTCTATCCAAAGAGAAACTGCACACAAATATACGTAGCAGGTTTATTCATGACTGCCAGATTCTGAAAACAACTAATACATTTTCACTTGGTGAATGGATACAATGCAGCGTATAACACACAACAAAAGGTTATTCTCTGAACATGAATCTAAATCCTACAGCAGCTTTATCTGTAATAGCCAAAGCTATAAACAACTAAAACACCGACTAACTGAACGGCTTTTAAGCACATGGCATACAACGGAACTCTGGCTGTTCAGCAATGCATATCAACAGCCCTGAGTCATGCATCATGTGTGTTGTGCATGCCAGAACACTGTTTCCTCACGGAAATACTAACCAGCTTTCAACTGCTAAATTCTACAAAAACGCTTGCTGATGTCTGTGGAGAGGGGACAGGAACAGATGGTAGAGATAGGAAGGAACACAAGTCATTTGGTTATGTAGAATAAGCACATACACACATTATCTTTTAAGTTTTTTTTTTTTTTTCTACAACCCTCTTGGGGTTGGACTTACAGATGGTTGTGTGCCAACCAATATGGGTGTTGTAGACAAAACCCAGGTCTTGTAGAACAGATAGTGATCTTAATCACTGAGCCATTCTTCAGCCCCAACACGTGACCCTGAATACGGTGAGTTCACAGGGGTGTCCAGATGCTGAAAAAGCACACATCTTATACTACACATACTTGTAATGCATTGCATGTTAACTATACATCAATGAAGTCTTATTTTATTTTCCAAGACAGGGTTTCTCTGTATAGCCCTGGCTGTCCTTGAACTAACTCTGTAGACCAGGTTGGCCTTGAACGCATACCAAAAGTGCTAGGATTAAAGGCATGTGCCACCACTGCCTGGCTAAGGTAAATGACTAATTTCCTAGAGACACAGTAATTGGACACCACTGAGAAGGGTAATATGGAAGCTACCACAAGATGGTGCTTCTCCCTACCATCTGCCCACCTACCTGGGCTCCATCATGCCCATTAATCAATAACGATGATTTTTTAATCTAAGGGCAGTACTTAGTGTCAGTACCAGATTCACAGGTGACATGGTTTGGAGCAGAGGTTCTCAACCTGTGGGTCATGACCCCCTTGAGGTCAAACAATCCCTTCACAAAGATCTAAGGCCATCAGAAAACAGTTCAAAAGAGTAGCAAAACTACAGAAAAGAAGCAGCAATGAAAATGATTTTATATGGATGGGGCACATGAACATGAAGAGCTGCATTAAAGGATCGCAACATTAGGAAGATCGAGAACCACTGGTTTAGAGGGATACTTGCTCTTTGGCATTGTTAAGACTTGAGGCATTCAGAAGAGCATTCTGGAATTCTGGAACTTCATGATAGTCTTGGGGGTGGGGAATCTCAGCAGTCTGGATATTTGTGTCTTTTTTTTTATGCCTTTGTTCATGATTTGCTCAGTCTTTTTTATTTGTGTCTTCTTAAAAAAATAGATCAACATTTCTGGGATGTATTCTTTCAAGATCTCATGGAATGGGTGATATCTTCTAATTGTAACTTGCCATAGAAAATAACATGAGAACTGGGTATTAAAGAGGAGAAACAGAAAAAGACCTCAAGCAATATGGTACCAACTGAAAGCTAAACTCTGCCAGAATTTACGAAACCAACTATTTTGTGTAGCAATTTAAATTATTGTTAAAAACAATTTTCCAGTGAGATCCCTATTCCTATTTCTCTTAGAAATCGGAGCTGTCAAGTAGTTTGGCACTTTAGGGGTAATGCCTGACTTATGAAAAAAAATGGGTGAGCAAAGAAATTCATGCTCCCTTTGGACATTAGGAAGACTTCCAGAGTTACCTTCTGCTGCCAGTGCTGGGGTTCCCAACTGGACAGCAATACTCACAAGCTTGACATCTAGGAAGGAAAAGAAATTCACAAACCTGTAGATCAGTGGTTCTCAACCTTCCCAATGCCGTGACCCATTAACACAGATCCTTATGTTGTAGTGACCCCAACCATGATATTATTTTGCTGCTACTTCATAATTTTGCTACTGCTATGAATTGTAAATATCTTGGTTTTCTGATGGGCATAGGTGACCCCTGTGAAAGGGTCACTCAACCCCAAAGGAGTCAAGACCCACAGGGTGCTACTTTAGTTGTTTACTCTGTCAGTGGTCTTGGCTGCCATGGACACAGGCTCAGATTGTTCTGCACACTCATTGCATGTGGCTATACATGCACAGACATCCATGGAAGATCCTTTCCAATGAACAAACCTTTGTCCACAAATGTCACCCCAACCACATCATCTCAGTGTCCCTGCACGATTCCTGGTTCCCACCTCACTGGATAGGTCAATGGCACTTGTCTATGTAACCAGGAAGACCAGACTCTTGCTCTGTACTGTAGAGATCCAAGAGATAGGAATTTCTCGGTCACACTGGAGGGTCCTGCTTTCACACTGCTTCCAGAGGCAAATGAACGTTTCACACCTACTGCGCTGTCCTCCGAGTGAACACTGGAATTGCAGATGATCCTTATATCCGAGTATATAATAGCACACAAAGCTCTTTCTAGTACAGCCATAGCAATGGGGCACATTGTTAAACTGTAGCAAAGACTCTGTTATCCTGTGGTCTTATCAGAGGCAAATAAAGATGGTGCACACACACACACACACACACACACACACACATACACACACACACACACACACACACATACACACACATATCCATAAATATACCTGTAAATAAAGATCGCTGTACACCGGCAGACTCAAACTTCTTTCTCAATCCACTCTAAAATGTAAACAAAACTAAACACAATGAATGCTGTAGTATACTTTGTCACTGTGAAAAGCAACCGCACAGGACAAGGCAGTTTCAAGGTTGGAACCTGGGCAAGGTTACTGTCACAGTCAACAGTTTCCAGGCGAAATGCCTGGACATACGTAGTAGGCCTTAGCTGGGTTCCTTTTGGTCAAATCTAGTTGCTTGCTCAGAATGTAATTGTGAAAGGCGAAAGAGAAGCCTCGGTGGGCTCCCAGTAGTCAGGATTCCCTGCAGGGAACAGCAAGCAGATGTCTGCCTTTCCTGAGGCAGAACGGACTAGTGGGAACAGATGGAAATAGTGAGATGGTGTCTATAAACTTTGGCAGTGACATAACTCTGTCAAGAGGCCTGAACAATTTAGAAAGTTGAATACATTTCATGAAAATTCCCTATGTGTGATGCTAACTTGGAATCTTCCCTGACTAAATATAAGAATGGACCAGGATGATGTTTGCTCCATAAAAAAAAGTGCTCACTGAACTCTGCTCTAGTGTGACTATTAGCTTAAAAAATGTAAGCAATACATTTCTCCCATTGCATAAGGCTTTTCTTTGGGATGAATATTTTTTTTTTTTTTTTGTACACCAGGCTAGCCTAGAACACATGGAGATCCACCTACCTCAGCCTCCTAATGTCGGAATTAAAGAGCTCACCATGCCCAGCTGGATTTTTTCATGCTAAACAAGTTTAACAGCTACAGTTAAAGGGTCCCCAAAGCTCTTGCGCACACGAGGCTTTTCATCTTCCACATGCACTTTCTGATGCTGTAGAAGATGAGAACTTCTGGTATAGGCTTTTCCACACTCAGTGCAGATAAAAGGCTTTTCTCCAGTGTGAACTCTATGATGAAGGATGAGGTTAGAATTGCGGCTGAAGGACCTCCCACACTCATTGCACGCATAAGGCCTTGCTCCAGTGTGAACTTTCTTGTGCTGAACAAGGTTGGCGCTACTGATGTAGGCTTTCCCACATTCGTTACACACGTAAGGCCTAGCCCCACTATGAACTCTTTGATGCAGGATGAGGCTAGAGTTGTGACTAAAGCATTTCCCACATTCATTGCATTCATAAGGTTTGGCTCCAGTATGAATTCTCTGATGTACAATGAGGTTGGAGCTATGTCTGAAGGTTTTCCCACACTCAGCACATTGATAAGGCCTTTCTCCAGTGTGGATTTTCTGGTGCCTTACAAGCATTTGTTTCTGGCTAAAGGATTTCCCACACTGACTACACTCATAGGGCTTTACACCAGTATGGACTATCTGGTGCTGAACAAGCGTGTCTCTGCAGCTAAATTCTTTCCCACACTTGCTGCAGACATGGGACTTTGTTCCAGTATGGACCCGCTGATGTTTAAGAAGGCTGGATGTGTGGCTAAAGAATCTTCCACACTCAGGACATTCATAAGGCCTTGTTCCTGTATGAATTCTCCAGTGCTCAACAAGGTGGGAACTTTGACTAAAGAATTTCCCACATTCACTACACTTGTAAGGTTTTTCTCCTGTGTGAAATCTTTGATGTTGGACAAGTATGTCTTTGCGACTGAAGGCTTTGTCGCAATCACTGCACTTAAAAGGTTTTTCCCCTGTGTGCACTCTCTGGTGCTGAACAAATGTGTCTTTACGGAGGAAAAGCTTCCCACATTCATTACACGTGTAATGGTTTTTCGTACTGTGCATTTTCTGGTGCATTTTTAGATGTGACAGGTGAATAAAGGTCTTGCCACACTCATTACACACATAAGGTGTCTCTCTACTTTGGGCGTTTCTGTGATTCAGGAGAGTTGGCATCTCCTTGAACACGTTTCCAACTGGCAGACATCCAGAGGGTTTCCCCTCAATAAGAGGTATGTGATTGTCAAGAGAAGTAAAGGTGTGCAGGGAGGGTCTCCCATTGTCACTGTTTTGGAAAGTCTTCCCATCACTGTCTCCTTGGCGTTTCCCAAGACTGGAGCTCTGCGTGAGAGGCTCCAGGCACTCAGTGTTTTTGTGTGGATTGGGCACTGAGCACTGTGTCTCTTGCTGAAGGAGACTGGTACTGGTCAGCCAGCCCATCTTGCCACCCCTGCATGCATATGGTGTCTCAGCCATGTGAGCTGCGCTCTTCCCGCCTGAGGCTTCTCTGTCACCCCATCCAATGGCATTCTTGCCACAATGTTGCTTCTGGTACTGGGAATGTTTTGCAGCGAGTAAGAATCCTAGCCCATTGAGCCCACATCTATGCAGGTCCTGCTTAGGGCATGAGCTATGGTATTCAACGAGTTGCAGAATGCTCCTCAGGAGTGGGCCATACCTCTCACAGGAGTGAGCTGTTCCCATCGAGACACTTGATTCAGCAATCCCGGCCTGTGGCACTACTTCTGCAGAGATGCTCTCCTTACAAGGAGCCTCCTTGCTATTTGCTTCACACCAACCTGAAAGCAAAGGAAAGCTGATGACCAGCAGGTGGCCTTTGTGGGAAAGCAGCTGCCTATCACACCCAGAGCCTATCAGTTCTCATGAGGAGCCAGGATGAGGGTAAGAACTGGTTATAAGTAACATTCTGTCAGGAAAACAGCCAAGGTTAAGGTCAATCGGGAATGCTCTATGACTCTCTCAGTGGGAGGCACTATAAATCGCTACAACAACGAAAAGGATTTCACACAGAATCTTCCTGGTTTAGATGAAGAACGTTAGGCAAAGTCATGATGAAACTCTAATGGTTTTGTTTGTGGTACACTTAAAAGTCTATGGAAGGGCAGAGGTACAGGGGTGCTCACCTTTAATCACAGCACTTGGGAGGCAGAGACAGGTGAGTCTCTGGGTTCCTGGACAGCCTGGTCTACAAAGCAAGTTCTAGGATGCACAGGGCCATTACACAGAGAAACCCTGTCTTGGAAAACCAAAAACAAACAAACAAAAAAAGCTACATGGAAGAATAGCACATCAAGACTAATCTGTGTCAACCATAGTGGTTTCATCCAAGAAGGAATTGGTGGGATCAAGCTGGGTACCTCCATCCAATCCCTCAGTGATGACTCTTACAAGCTCACATACCACCTCTGCTGTACTGAGCCCTGGGCTACTGAGGGGGTTTTAGCACTCAACTGGCAGGTGGCATGAAGCTATTTGTTCAAAGTGTAAGTAGAGTCTCTAACAAGAGCCAAAGAGCACACACAAAAGAAAACAGAGTCATTATGCAAATGGCAAGACATTTTTAACATTAATTTATTAAAAAAACAAATTTTTTTTATTTTATTTATATGTCTGTGCCTGTGTGTCCATATGCACACCATATGTATGCAGGTACCTACAAGGACAGGAGAGACAGCTTCCCCAGAACTGCAGTTAAAGGTTGTAAATGACCAAATGTGGGTACTGGAAACTGAACCCAGGTCCTCTGGAGAAGAAGCAAGTGCTCTTTACTGCTGGGACTTCTCTCCATCCCCCCAAATCATTTTTCCCCCACTAAGAAGCCTGATAAGCAAATCATTAACCTATAATGTTTCCCATAGAAGGGACACCATTGAATAAGACATTAACTTGGGCTTGTGACAGCTCAACATAGTGTCAGGGCAGTAAGCGTTCCCAAGTCTCTCTCTCTCTCTCTCTCTCTCTCTCTCTCTCTCTCTCTCTCTCTCTCTCTCTCTCTCTCTCTCTCTCTCTCTCTCACACACACACACACACACACACACACACACACAGTTCTTCCTAAAGTGTCAGCAGACAAGGCAAGGACATGAGTTGGTATGAAATCCTGCGGATGGCAGCCTGAAAAATGGCCGCCACTGATGGGTATTTGCTGACACACTGGCTCTCATGTAAGCAAGCCTCTGTCCCCAGCACAGGCTGGACTTACTGACTCAGGTACTAGAAAGATGGAACATGACTTTAGAGATCAACTAATTAACCTGCTAAAACAGAAGACACCTTCATGTTCTGAGGCTCACCACACAACGGACAACATGACTGAGCATGTTGAACATTCTTGTGAGCAGATTCTTCCAAAGACAGGCCTTCAAAAGACACCAGATGTCTGCTTGACAGTTTGACTGAAACCCCATCACACTCTGAGCTAAGCATTTCCCACAATCTGAATGATTAAAATGAAGCAATAATAACTTTTTATTTCCAAGACAGGTCTCTCAGTGTAATAGTCCTGGCTGTCCTGGGACTTGATTGTAGATCAGGCTGGCTTTAATCCACAGTGCTGGAATTACAGGGTTACACTCCACCACATTCAGCTAAGAGATAACCTTTCAGCTTATTAAGCTATTAAATTTGGGATATGCCTTCTATCTTACGCCAATAAGAATAGCTAAGATCAAAAACACCAATGACAGCTTATGCTGGAGAGGATGTGGAGAAAGGGGAACACTCCTCCATTGCTGGTGGGAGTGCAAACTTGTAAGCCACTGTGGAAATCAGTATGGCGATTTCTCAGAAAATTATGGATCAACCTACCTCAAGACCCTGCAATACCAGTGTTGGGCATATACCCAGAGGAGGCACATTCACACCACAAGGGCATCTGCTCAACTATGTTCATAGCAACATTATCTGTAATAGCCAGATCTTGGAAACAGCCTAGATGTACCATCATTTGGTTGAGTCATTTCTCTGGTCTGACAAATGGGGAACCTGCATAAGACCAAACTAGACTCCCTTAATATAGGTGACAATAGTGTGACTGGGACAATATATGAGGCCACTGGCAGTGGGCCCAAGATCTAACTCTACTGCACAAACAGACTTAGAGGAGTCCATTCTATATGGAGAGATACCTTGCCCAGCCTAAACACAGGGATGTGGGGGTGGAGAGGTGCCTTGATCCTGCCTCAACCAAATGATGTGACAGCCTTAGTAGACTTCCTGGGGGGGCCTTACCCTCTCCGTGGAGCAGATGGGAGGATGGGGGAGTGGAGGGAATGGGAGGGAAGAAGGGAGGGAGAACTGAGATTAAAATGTAAAAAATAAATTAATTTAAAAAGAAAAGAAAAAAATTTGGAATCTGCCAAGTAGCAATGAGCCAGATACTCACCAAGTGTGGCCACAAGTAAAAAGTTCTCCAGCATCACACTGAGGTAGAGCAGCCTCTGCATCTCGTCAAGCATTTCCCACTCCTCCCAGGAGAAGTCGACAAACACATCCCCAAAGGTCACACAGTTCTAGCATGATGGGAAGGAATAGTTAATCCCACCAGAAGCATTTTCCATAGATACCACCCTTCAGTCTACCCTACCTATACACATCCCTCAATCTCCTCCCCAAGTCTATCACCTTCCAGGGTACGCTAAGCCATGAAACTACTGATGCCTACTCTATTCCCGCGTCTCTCATTCCACTGCGTTCAGACTAGCAAAGAACCAGGCAATGTGCAAAACTATATCATCTAAACAGAGGGTCTTAGGCTACCAAGATGGCTCAGTGAGGAAAGGTACTTGGCTTATGCCCGGAACCCAAGTAAAAGTGAAAGACTATCAACTCTACAAACCTGGCCTCTGACTTACACTCTCTCTCTCTCTCTGTCTCTCTCTGTCTCTCTCTGTCTCTCTCTCTCTGTCTCTCTCTCTCTCTCTCTCCTTTGCACACACAATAGAAATAACTAAATACACTTAAACACAGTCTGGCATGAAAGTTCTGAAATATCCCTTGTTGTTCTTTTGCTGCAGCTAATGCCTATAAAACACAAGCACGAGACTCAGCGCCCACATGGAGTTTATTGAGAGAGGGGAGAGAAAGGGGGTAGCTGGTGGCCAACCGAAAGCAGGAGAGAGAGAGAAGAGAAAGAGCAGAGAGAAAGAGAGAGCGAGAGAGAGGGGAGCCAGAGAGAGAGGCCAGAGAGAGGCGCACTTGGCTCGATTGCTTTAAAAGGGGGGCTTGCACATGCGTAACTGAGTCCTCTGGCCGCCAGGTAAAGCCTGGTGTAGTGGTGACATGGCCCTGAGCATCCCACCCATCATTGGGGGCGGGGGTCAGCAGGCTGTTGATTCCTAACACGGGGTTTTCTTGTATTTGTCTACATTATACCTCACAAGCAAATCTCAGTTCTGCCCTCTAGAAGCCATCAATAGCAAGGACACAAGATTATCATTTCCTAGATAGTAGCTATGGCTCAGTGGATAAAGCTCTTACCTTACAAGCCTGATGACCTGAGTTCTGTCCCTAGAATCTGCATGAAGGTGCAAAGAGAGACCCAATCCTGCAAAGTTGTCCTCTGACTTTCAAAAGCAAGTACATTTCTTGGTACACGTGTGTAGATGTACATATTACATATGCAAGCAATAATAGTAATTGTAAAAGATTCTCAGGGCTAGAGAAATGGCTCAGTGGTTAAGACTGAATACTGTTTGTGCATAAGACCTAAGTTCAGTTCCCAGTACTTGCACACACACGCGCGTGTGCGCACACACACACATACAATCTCATTCGCACTCTGAGGCTAGGAGACTGCCGTTAAAATCTGTCCCACAGCCCCTCCATATCCTCACTGAATTTGCCAGTCACCCTCGGGACAGCAACGCAATCCTCTGTCAACTGGAGGAGCCTGAACCCCTGCTCTCAGAAGACCTGAGGTTTCTGAAACTCTCCTAACTCACTGTTAATCCGAGTATCGTTTCAACCCTTCTACATTTCACCCGCTAAGAAGCCTGGCTTCCCTAACCACCCCCTCAGTGCCTATACTTAGAGAGGAGAAGCAAGGAAGATGAGATGTCCAGGACACACACACCTCCGTATCTGGGCAAGAATCTAAGACAACTTCCAATTACCTGAACTCGATCCATCTGTGCAGCAGCTTAGTGGGCAGGCAGCCGGGGCTCAGTGGACAATCCAATCCCGGATGCTCTCAAGTCTGCCCGGTGCAGAAATGCTTACAAATCGTAGGGACTGGCTGCAGGTACGACCAGAATTGGAATGCCAGATGTCACTCGGGCTCGGAGAAAAGTGCCGTGGTCTCTCGGTCTTCCCTGCTGGGCTCCGCTGGAGGGAAGTGATCTGGTCGCCGACTGCCAAACCAGTTTGGACAGACGTCACAATGGTGACGCAATAAGTCCCGCCCTATCAAATAGTGCCCTTGACATAGGCCTGTGGGTAATGTAGTTTCTTCTCTGAACCCAGCCGCTATTTGATCCTGACTCCTTTAGGCCACTTCCTGGAGAGAAGTAAGACAGTGAAAACTTGGCCTGGTACTCTCACCTTATGTGGAATTCACTCTGATTTCTCTGGCCATTTGTGTTAATCCCGCATTTCAGGACTCATGACTTATTTTTTTTTAACGTTTCTGCTTTTGAGGTCCAGGAAAAGCATCCCCAAGTCTTGGGGGTGGAGGTTTTAGTTCTCCCAAATGTACTGTACGTCACTCATAGGGCCCTTGCGTTTCAAAGTGAAATGAACCTCTTGTTCATGGGTCCCAAATTTGGGTCTCTTAGTTGACAGAAGCCGAATAACGACATGTTGCTTGTACCAGTGCAGTGGATTGGAGAGCTCAATATCTAAGAACACTTGCTGCTCTTGCTGATGACCCTAGTTGAGTTCCCAGCACATAGCAACATTAGGTTGCCTGGGACCACCTGAAAAGGTCAACCCCAGACGATCCTGTCTCCCTCTTCTGGCATCTGAAGGCATCACACTCAAATGTATACAGGCCTACACACATATATACATATTTAAAATAATCATAAAAAGAAAACTGGAAAGCCAGGCATGGTAGTACACAACTTTAATCTCAGTAAGCAGGTGGATTACTATGAATTCCAGTCCAGCCCAGTGTACATAGCAAGTTCTAAGCCCGACAGCTCTATAAAGTGAGACCCTATCTAAAAAAAATAAAAATTAAAATTAAATAACAAAAACATTGAAAACCTAACATTTGGAGCATGCAGGCCCCTTAATTTAAATTTTTAAGCTTTAGTGAAAGCAACTCCAGTGTTACAAACACTACCGACTTGTCACTTTTATTAGGCAAAATAATTTAGATGAAGAAATTATTTTGATGCCATTAAGAGACACAACAAAATAAAAGGATTTATCAGGACTGGAGAGTGGGAACAGTGACCAAAAACACTTGTCCTTGGAAGTGACCTGGGTTTGATTCCCAGCACCCATACAGAGGCACAACACTTCCATAGGTACCATGCATACATGTGGCAAACAACCACATGCAGGCAAAGCATGCATACAAAAACAAAATAAGACAAAACAATTTTAAACATAACAATCTACATAAACTAGGAAAAGATATTCAAGTGTTTTCCTTTTGCCCATTATCTGGTCTACACTGACGGTGCCCTGTTGATGGTAGGCAGAAAATAGAGACTTGTAAACCTTATAGAAAATCATGTGTCATCCAAAACTCATGCTTAATCAAGCATCATTGCATAGAACATCAAAAAGTTATGCCAAAAGCATTAAAATACTTGATGACAGACAAATCACAAGACTATAAATTTTGGCTCATTAAAAATTCCAAGAATTCCTTACAGGTGTTGATGTTGTCTATGGTTCTATCACTTATTCAAAAAGAAAAAAGAAAGGACTTACTTGTATGGATATGGGTGCTTTGCCTTCCTGTTCTGTGTAACACATGTGTTCCTGACACCTTCAGAAGCCAGAAAAAGCACTGGAAATCCTAGAACTGGAGTTGTAGATGAGTGGTTTTTAACCTGTAGGTTGCAAGCCCTTTGGAAGTGTTACGTCAGATATCCTGCATCCCAGATACTTACATTGTGATCCATAACAGTAGCAAACTTACAGTTATGAAGTAGCAACAAGATAACTGGGAGGTTGGGGGTCACAACAACATGAGGAACTATATTAAAGTGTCACAGCATTAGGAAGGCTGAGAGCCACTACTCTAACCCTACCTGTAAGGACTCAGGCTTGCCCCTGTCACCGGGCAGAATGCACTCAGACAGTACTCTGGTCTGTCCAAGGTTCCATGAGTACTAGTGTGCACGCAGGTGCAAAGGACCCTTTAAAAGACAGACCCCACCCACTTATGATCTCTTTCCTGCTGTTTCCCTGGGGCAGACAGGACTTTTCCTACCTCCCTCTTCTGTGTCTCTGGTCTCTTTACCATTTTCTCTTTCCTACTCCCTCCCTCCCCTTTCTGAAAAACTTCTCACTTAAGCTCTGTCTGCCTGGCATGTTTGTCCCTCCATAGGTCAACCTCGGCTGCCATGGAATCCATGCAGGGTTCACTGTAAGCTTTAACATAACATTGGTGCATGCAACTAGGCAGGTTTTCTTGGCATTTCCTCCTGGCCACAGCAGTCTGAGATATGCCAGAAACCTGTAACCTTCAATGTGCTGATATTTTATCTGTGTTCTAACAAATAAACCTTGCCTGAAGTCAGAGAGTGGAGCTACCCACTAGTTAACCACAGTGTCCAGGCATTGGTGGCTCATGCCTTTGATCCCAGCACATTGGAGGCACAAGCCTTTAATCCCAGCACAGGGGAGGTGGAGACAGTACCTCAACACTGTTCAGTCTGAGGATTCCTAGAGACAGGAGCTCAGCCTGTTCCATCTGAGCATTAGGTAGAGGTAGTGCTAGTGGCGGACTGCTCTGCTTCTCTGATCTTTCAGCATTTACCAATAGCTGGCTCCGGCTTGTTACTAAGACCAATTAGAATTCGTACAAAAGGCTTAGGATATGCCTGTGAAAGGGTCACTGAAGCCCTAACAGATTTTGCCCCCACAGGTTGAGAACTGCTGCTTGAGATGATTTGCTCTGACAGTGGACTTGGCTGCCATAGAGACAGGCTCAGAGATCTGCACATTCTGGACAAGGCTGCCCTTGAACTCAGAGAGGATGTGAGCTCCAGGCCAGCCTGGTCTATAGAGTGACTTCTAACACAGCCAGGGCCACAAAGTCAAAACAACAAAAAAATCTGGAAGGAAAAAAGGAGGTAATGGACCGAGGCAGGCCCACATCACAAAACAAAATGTCAGGAGGTAATAAAGAACCCCAAACCCCAAAGGGGTTCTACAGAACAGCTACAGAGCCACAGTACAGTGACATGTGAGTAAATCTGATCCTGAGTGTACAGTCCTGGAAAAGTGCATCCCTAGTTTATGAGAACTGCACACAGGCTTTGGAGGATTTTGAGGTAATGCCAGGAAGATGGCACTTGTTGCCAAGCTTGACAGCTGAGTCCCAGCCCCCAGGACCCACGTGGCAGAAAGAATCCCTGCGGGTTGTCCTCTGACTCCACGGTGGTTTTGTTTGTTTGTTTTGGCTTTTGTTTTTGGTTTTTTGAGACAGGGTTTCTCAGTGTAGTTTTGGAGTCTCTTCTGGATCTCACTTTGTACATTTTATTCTATTTGTATGTCTGTACCTGAGAGTATGTATGGGCTCCATATCCATGCAGGTACCTGGCAAGTTCAGAAGAGAGAGTCAGAGCTCACAGAACTGGAATTAAAGTTGTTGTAATCCACCAGATATGGGTACTAGAAACTGAACCCAGGTCCTCTAGAGGAGAAGCCAAGTGCTCTTTATTGCTGGGACTTTGCTCCCACCCCAAATATCATATTTTTTTTTTCCACTAAGAGGCCTGGGAACCATCTGTAACTCTGGATCCACAAGGATCCAACACCTTATTCTGGCACCTGTACTTGAACACACACACACACACACACACACACACACACACACTCATTTGCACTCTGAAGCAAGGGGACCGCTGTTAAAATCTGTCCCACACACCCTCCATATCTGCACTGAATTTGCCAGTCACTCTCGGGACAGAAGCACAATCCTCAGGAAGGGGGGGGGGTCTCAATTGGAGGAGCCTGAACCCCTGCTCCCAGAAGGCTTGAGGTTTCTGAAACTCTCGTAACTCACTGTTACACCTGAGTATTATTTCCTTGCAACCCTTCCACATTTCACCCTCCAAAGCTAAGGACAGCCTGGAGTTCCCCTGATCAACCACTGGGCGCTTAAATTTAGGGAGAGGAAGTAATGAAGATGCTGTCCAGGACACACATCCCTCCGTATCTGGGCGAGAATCTGAGAGAACTTCCAATCACCTGAGCTCGGTCCATCTGTGCAGCAGCTTAGTGGGCAAGCAGTGGGGGCTCATTTGCTAACCCACGCCTGGGTGCCCTCAGCCTGCCTGGTGTAGAAACGCCCACCAAGCTTAGGAGCTGACTCCAGGTATGACCAGGATAGGAATGCCAGCTGTCTGGCATGCTGTCTTAACCTGCTGGGTCCTGCGGGTGGGATGTTACTTGGCAGCAGACTTCCAAACCAGTTTGGACAGAGCCTGAACCAATTCAGATGTCACAATTGTGGTGACGGGAGTCCCACACTGTCCAATTGGCACAGGATGGTGGGGAATATAGTTTCTTCTCTGTACTCTGTCACAACTCCTTCAGGCCACTGCCTGGAGAAAAGATAAACAGTATCTTGGCCCACCACCTCACCTTATGAGACCAACTGCTTTTTTTTTTTTTTTTTTTAATTAAACAGTCTTATTTTACAAACCAATGATCCCTGCTCCCTCTCCCTCCCATCCTCCCGTGCCTCTCCACCAACCTCCATCTACTCCCCAGGGAGGGTGAGGCCTCCCATAGGGAATCATCAAAGTCTGACCCATCATTTCGGGGCAGGGTCTAGGCGCTCCCCCCTGTATCTATAATAAAAGAGTATCCCCCTCCATAGGGAATGGGCTCCCAAAGTCCATGCACTAGGGATAAATACTGGTTTCACTGACAGAGGTCTCATGAATTGCCCTGGCCTCCCAACTGACACCCTTGTTCAGGGGGCCTGGATCAGTCCTAT